CCAGAACATTGTCAGGAGATGTGAAAATGTTTGGCAAAGAAATGTTGACTTAACAAATGTAACTTTTTAGCCTAAATGCATTATTTGTCATAAACCAAACACGGCACAAAACTTGGCAGAGAAGCCTGGTAATAGCAGCTCAAAGTTACGGGGATGTTTGGCATCGTCTTGGATGAGAGAAACGGAAGCAATGTACAAAGAAGTATTTGACATAAACTAAGAAACCTGCAAGAAAAGCCTGCAAGAAAGACACGGCGGGGTTGGAAGTTGACGTTTCTGAAATCTGAATTTAAATGCACAATACTGAGGCACGACACCATGTAATAACTTTAGGAGATGAAACTCACTGCAAAACCCCACCTCAACTTTTCCCCACGAAGCAGGTCCAGCCAGTTTAGGGGAGGTTATGTCAAGGGGAGAGGATTTTCGGACAATTTTTGACACGCCTCTTAATTGAGCACTCTGCTTTTCCGGACATTTTCAGACTACTCCCTTTCTCCCGGCTCTGTGAGGCAATTTTTTCACAATGTGTACAGATACAAGCAAGTTAGTGCTGCATGTGGTTGTATGGCCCGTCTATTTTTTGTGAAATGTTTGGACATGTGATTTGTTACATATTTAGAGACAACATCACCCTAGCATTAGTGTTGACCTTTTTTTATTTATTTCCCTCGTATCAAAGTTTTACTTTGAAATTATACCGCTTAGCAGTGTTTCTGCCTACAGGAGACTCTGCCTTTTCTTGCAAAAATTATCTAGTTGTTCTTTTACATGTACATAATTGTGCCAATGGTTCCAGTTTCCAAATGTCACTTTGTGAAAGTTTTCAATGGAGACCTGGTAACACCTGTGTAGAGTTAACCCCCCGCACAGCACAGCCTTCCCATGTTTAGATATGCAATGGCTGTACAAATCGTAACCTGAAACCACAAGTCTCATTTCTTCATTTGTTTATGTCCCTGCATGGACTTTGTCTCGTTATTGTCTCAATGTCTTTTTCGTCAGTGTCCGTTTACAATGGTAGTGCTGCTTATCTTTTTTAGGTGGTGTCTAGTAGAAAGCTTATAAGACCACTGGTGTTGAAGAACCAGAAGCCTGCAGGAAAAGGGACCATAACAGTGAGTGTTACAGCGTTACAAACTAATATCAAACTCACATTACTAAATCATCTATGGGTAGTTGTTGATATTGTCTGAATGTGATTTATCCTTCCCAACTCTACTACAAAGCTCAATTTCTTGGCATTATTGTCAGTAGTTTGTTGGCCTGTTTTCTTCTTCCTTTTTAGATATGTGCAGAAGAAATAAAAGACAACAGGGTGGTGAATTTTGAGGCTGAAGCAAGGAAATTAGACAACAAGGTAAACATTTTAATAATTTCTGCCAAGCCTTGGCCATAACCTTAACCTAGAATATCTTGAAGAGTTATCTTAGTTGAGGATGTAATTTGGTTTACTGTTTATTACTGTTCTGTTTTTTTCATGTCTGTTTACAGGATTTCTTTGGAAAGTCGGATCCATATCTTGAATTCTACAAGCAGACAGAGTCTGGATGGCAGCTGGCCCATAGAACTGAGGTAAGTCATGTACTCTACATGTATAATCTTATTTAGTATTCCGTGAATGTCAAGGTTAATTCCTCCATTTACGTCTGTAGATATTTAGATTGTCTTCTGTTTAGTTTAAACCAGCGTTCGTATAAGTGTTTGTTTCATTTTTTGACGGTGTATTTTATGACCATAAGCTACATAATGTCCTGTTCACTGATCGATGCTGTGAGATTCACTTCATGACATTTGCATGGCTTTTTCCTTCTGTTTAGAAACATATTACTCGTGTTAAGTACAATTTCCTGAACTAATTATTGGTAATTTGTTTTGAATAATGGTAATGAATGATACAAATGGGTGCGTTTGTTCTTATACTGTGTCCAGATGATGGTGTAATGATTCAGAGTCTGATTAGGATACGTGGAGCCTCTTGGACCCGGCAATCTGAGGAGCTGTGATGAGATTTGCCCTTGTGATTAGTTCTGCACGTTTTCCCCTGTGTTCTGTAGGTGGTGAAGAACAACTTGAACCCAACATGGAAACCTTTCCGAATCCCCCTGCAGTCTCTGTGTGGAGGAGACATGAACAAACCTATAAAGGTATATCGATATAGCCACACGCCTTTGTCAGTACTAACGTTTATACTCATCTACAACATAAAAAAACTAATCTGGAAGTCTGATCATTTTCGATGTTCATGTTTCTAACAGAAATTAAACGAATGAAACATTTTTAAACAATAGCAGGTTCTGTATATTGTCCCCTCCAAGGAAACAAATTCATTTGGACATCAGGCTTTATTGATGTCGTTTATTAGTCTAGTCTCTATGGCTCTATGCTCTATGTCTTTGGCTCTATGGCTCTATGTCTCCATGTCTCTATGCTCTATGTCTCTATGCTCTATGTCTCTATGCTCTATGGCTCTGTGCTCTATGGCTCTGTGCTCTATGGCTCTATGCTCTATGGCTCTATGGCTCTATGCTCTATGGCTCTATGCTCTATGGCTCTATGCTCTATGGCTCTATGCTCTATGGCTCTATGGCTCTATGGCTCTATGGCTCTATGCTCTATGGCTCTATTGCTCTATGGCTCTATTGCTCTATGGCTCTATGGCTCTATTGGTCTATGGCTCTATTGCTCTATGGCTCTATGGCTCTATGCTCTATGGCTCTATGCTCTATGGCCGTAAATCTTGCATAGAGGAATTATGTATAAAGATGGCTGTAAATCGTACATAGCTCTCAGTTTATGGATGTAAATGCCCTCAAAATAAAGCTGACAATCTGCATTTTAAACCTTAAGCTGCTTTTTTAAATTTGCATAAATACTGAGTAAAAACAACAAAACATTTGTTACGGTAGGGGTGGGCGATATGGGAAAAATATCATATCACGATTTTTTCAGGAAAAATCACGATTCACGATTTTATCATGATTCTTTTTCATGTTGCTTTTTAAGACTATTTTGCTAATTACTGAGCTGCAATACAAGCAAATTATATATCCATTTAAAGAATATAGCGTTACAAGGTAACAAAACATAAAAGGGAAAAAAAATTAAAGTAGCATATTTTAATCACGTGTATATTTAAAGGAAGTGCAATGGTGCAAAGAAGCACCTTCATTCTCATCCGCAGCTTCACCATCCATTCACTGTGTAACCTGCCATCCATCTACAGCATCAGATGATCTACTGTGTTATCATCCTGAATTAAATGAATTGTGAATTATGCAGTAAAACATTTTACTAAAATAGTATGTAGCCAATTTATTGTCTTATGTAGCCATACAATACAAAATTAAAACCATGATTTTAAAATGCACAGGCTATGATATTTACATTTCTAAAGATCGAATAAATTAAAATCAATCAAACTGTATGTCCTATTTTGATGTAATAAATGCTAAAACATTTTAGATCACAAGCGAGGCGCAATCAAATGATTTGCGCATGATTGGCCGTATATATTGCAACACAGACTGTTGAAATAAAAACATTAGGCTACAGTGTATAATTTGATCATTTACATTTGTAAAATGTATTATAGTAATTACAGCCCAGTAACTAAGGCACTATAGACAATGAAACACGTATTTTACAACACAGTTTGTATATTGGTCACGGTCGGGTATATTCTGCTGTTACCCGGTAGATACATTAATCAATTTCGTTTTATATTTTCGTTCTGTTTATTTAGTAAAACATATATTTCTTTATAAACGTAGGCCTACCTCTTTTTTTTTTATAGTTCATTCAAATTCAACCAAGCCAATCAATCTATTATCTATGTATATCTCGCAGCTTTTGTCTGCCTGAGCAGGACACGCATACTAACCGGTTGCACTGCGCAGAGTGTTCATTAGTGATGTTATGAGTGCACATGAGACCGCAGCAAATTAATCGGTTACATATATCCAGTTTCATATAGATCGGACCAAAACGCGTCAAGTTTCATGTAGACCAGACCAAAACGCATCCAGTTTTATATAGACCAGACCAAAACGGACCCAGTTTCATAAAGACCAGACCAAAACGGTGTCCAATATAGATCGGACCAAAACGAGATCAGACCAAAACGCATCCAGTTTCTGAAAACGGGACAAGGTAAAATGCACGTATTTAGGAAAAGTCATGGAAGAACGAGGCTGTAGCTTTTCAACATTATATATTTATTTTAATTACTAACTGCAACGCCCGCGGGCATGGGCTGTTGGCGCTTCTAGTGTTAACACGCTGACATCTAGCGCACCGCGCATTGCATGTTGATACGTAGCTGAAAAAACGCCATAGATCTGCATCTAATTGAACGTGCACTGGAGCGCGATTCTACGATATTTCCGGAAAAGTGAATCGTGGAGACATTTTAATCGTCCACGATTAAATATCGTCATATCGCACACCCCTATGTTACGGCCCAAATTCTTACGGACTGCAGTGTTTGTAGTGATCATCCTCTATTAATAGCCATCTGGTACATAGTCTGTACTACTACATATAGCAGTTATTGATGTTGACCATTGGTGATTTTCAGCTGTTAATATCCCTAAAGCAATCTTATAAGGAACAACTGATACCCAGACATGAAGACATGTGAGTTACAACTCAGACTGGTTCAGATTGTCCTTCTTTCAAATATTTGAAGGGTTTCAGCCTGTCTGCACTGTAAGGACTCTGAATTAAGCACGGACAAAGTATTTGAAAGAAAACAAGTCATACGTGAACCCAGGTCAGCGTCATCATCACGTGTCTGTGTGTGTGTGTCCACCTCTGGGTGAAGGGTGGTGCAGTGATACGCTATTGGTAAAACACCGGACTGGGTTGGAAAACACTCTGGAGTAAGCTGTATCCACTCTGCACTGAGAGCTTCAGATATAGTTCTTCCATTGGCATTTATGTTGGACATCAATGTAGCCTCTTGCCGTGGCATTCTCCTGTGCTTTGCAGTGGTCTTAGTTAGCATAGCTCAGCGTTAGAGTGCACGCTCTGTATGTATGATGCCCTGGGTTCAATCCCCAGCTTCTCCCCGGGTCGCCGTTGCAAATGAGAAATTGTTCTCAATCGGGCCTACCTGGTTAAATAAAGGTAAAATTAAAAGAAAATTAGCTAACGCTGTTGTTTGAGTGCTTTCCATCGCATGGTTTTCTCGTTCGCCTTCTGATTCTTACGAAATGTCATGCAAGTTTTGTTTCTGTGTGGTTTGATACTGTAGCTACACACACACACCTGTAAGGATGTATTTGGGACTTATTGTGGCTGACTGTCCGGTCCTTTCCATCAGGTGGAGTGTTACGACTACGACGACGATGGCTCGCACGACCTCATCGGAATCTTCGAGACCACCATGACGCGTCTCCAGGAGGCCTCGCGAACCTCGCCGGTGAGACGGACACTCCGGCCGTATCGTTCCGCCCGCGTGACCCTCGTCATTTCCCTCACCCTCGACCGTTTGTCCCTCGACAGGCTGAATTTGACTGCGTCAACAGTAAGAAGAAACAGAAGAAGAAGGGCTATAAGAACTCCGGGGTGGTGAGTGTGAAGCTCTGTCAGGTCGTGAAGGAGTATTCCTTCCTGGACTACATCATGGGCGGATGCCAGATAAACTTCACTGTGAGTATCTAGCCTGGGGTTTGTCTGTATTGTACGTTCTACCGTTCGCCGTAGTGCCCGTTAAGTATCTAGCCTGGGGTCTGTCTGTATTGTACGTTCTACCGTACGCCGTAGTGCCCGTTAAGTATCTAGCCTGGGGTCTGTCTGTATTGTACGTTCTACCGTACGCCGTAGTGCCCGTTAAGTATCTAGCCTGGGGTTTTTCTGTATTGTACGTTCTACCGTACGCCGTAGTGCCCGTTAAGTATCTAGCCTGGGGTTTGTCTGTATTGTACGTTCTACCACGCCATAGTGCCCGTTAAGTATCTAGCCTGGGGTTTTTCTGTATTGTACGTTCTACCGTACGCCGTAGTGCCCGTTAAGTATCTAGCCTGGGGTCTGTCTGTATTGTACGTTCTACCGTACGCTGTAGTGCCCGTTAAGTATCTAGCCTGGGGTTTTTCTGTATTGTACGTTCTACCGTACGCCGTAGTGCCCGTTAAGTATCTAGCCTGGGGTTTTTCTGTATTGTACGTTCTACCGTACGCCGTAGTGCCCGTTAAGTATCTAGCCTGGGGTTTTTCTGTATTGTACGTTCTACCGTACGCCGTAGTGCCCGTTAAGTATCTAGCCTGGGGTTTGTCTGTATTGTACGTTCTACCGTACGCCGTAGTGCCCGTTAAGTATCTAGCCTGGGGTTTTTCTGTATTGTACGTTCAACCGTACGCCGTAGTGCCTGTTGAGTATCTAGCCTGGGGTTTTTCTGTATTGTACGTTCTACCACGCCATAGTGCCCTTCAAGCTGTTTCGCTAGTTGTTTGTTTGTCTTCTTGTGATCGTTTATCTGCTGTTAATAACGGCTTGTCAGGCTTACATGCAGTTAGTTGTTTTGTGTTGTATTGAGGTGTCTCCACCTGCCTCCACATACATATTTTACTCTCCATCTCCGTCGCAGGTGGGGATTGACTTCACAGGGTCAAACGGTGACCCCAAGTCTCCCCAGTCGCTCCACTACATCAGTCCCCAGGGGGTCAATGAGTACCTGACAGCCATCTGGTCGGTTGGCAATGTGATCCAAGACTATGACAGGTAAACAGCCTGGCGCTTTTGTTTCTGTTGATTCCATCTTTACACTAGGATTGTTTCCAAAAATTCATATTGATATTGATGATATTGACTTTCAAAATTGGATAAGACAGTAAAAGATTAAACTCGTGTTTATACAACAGTAGTAAAAATACACTCACCTTCTGCCCCACAAAGTCCCCAGGTAGATATATAATAGATTTAAGCCTCAGCAACATGTCCACCAACACTCCTGAATGAGCTGTGGTGCCACCATTTATCTTTAAAATGCTTATTTGATAGGAGTCCAAGTGGAGTTCGCTAAGTTGAAAGGTTTTCCTAAACTCTTCCCTTGTCTTGCAGCGACAAAATGTTTCCAGCCTTTGGCTTCGGAGCTCAGATCCCTCCCAACTGGCAGGTAGCTATGGTTCTAGAGAACATCGCAGAACGTTTCACGTCATCACCTGAGTGTTAATTCCCGCTTTTCTGTTCTACAGGTTTCACACGAGTTCCCTCTGAATTTTAACCCGACCAATCCCTTCTGCACAGGTACATGCTTCGTAGAAAAACTTTTAAGAGGGATGAAATGATTGTGGACCGAAGTTGAAAGCCATCTTGTACTTTGTCTGTGCAGGTATTGAAGGTGTTGTGGGGGCGTACAGAGTGTGTCTTCCCCAGGTGAAACTCTACGGCCCCACTAACTTCTCCCCCATCATCAACAACGTGGCCCGTACTGCACTGCAGGCAACCCAGCAGACAACTGCTTCTGTAAGCAGGACAAACTCTACCTGCTCGTTATATCCTGTATTTAACAGAACAACCCGAAGCACTTGTTCTAAGTGAAACTTTACCAAACGAAAAAACACGTTAATGTGTTCGTTTTAAAGGCAACACGTTATTTGCATTTACGGAGAGAACTTTCTAGTTACCTGAAATAATGACCTTTTCTTCATCTTGTTCTCTGCCCGTACTCTTCTGTTCCCAGCAATACTTTGTCCTCCTGATCATAACTGACGGCGTGATCACAGACCTGGACGAGACACGCGCTGCAGTCGTCAACGCCTCCCGTCTGCCCATGTCCATCATCATTATCGGTGTGGGCGGAGCTGACTTTTCAGCCATGGAGTTTCTGGACGGTGATGACGGGCGTCTCAGGGCACCAACGGGAGAGACGGCTGTCCGGGACATTGTCCAGTTCGTCCCGTTCAGACAGTTCCAGAGTGTAAGTATTTCATTGCGCTGCCTAAACCGGGGTTTGCTTCGCTCTCTGGAATGGCTTGGATGAAAGTACTAATGTGCTACTACAACATTGGTTGGGTTTCATTAAAACAAGAACTCTTACAGTGTCTTTTAGACATATTGGGCCGACACACACATGTATTAAAGTAAAATAAAACACATTTTGATTGGTCGTTCAGGTTTGATATAATGAACCCGTTTGAGGTGTTGATAACAATAATGGAATGCCCACCCAGTGTGACTGGCTGTTCTGTTCATTGTAGTTGTGGAGTTGATCTATAGATTGACCCATTACAATCACTGGTCTGACTGTGAATTGAATTGATCGAACTGCTAACTTGACGCAACTGACGCTGCCAGTTAACTATAAAAAAATTATCACAAGCATCTCGTCCAACCATCGTGGATCTTCAATTACTGGAACGATAGCCCCGCTCCTTTCCCAAACCCCTAGTGCTTCCCAGCCAGCTTCGTTACTCTACCTTTTCATCTTGTTTTAGGCACCCAGGGAAGCACTTGCTCAATGTGTGCTGGCAGAGTTGCCCGGACAAGTGGTGTCCTACTTCACAATACAGAAACTGAAGCCTTCCCATGACCCCCAGCTTCAGCCCTCAGCCCCGTCAGCTTCAGCCTATTGAGTCTCACCCTCAGAAACGTAGGGATACATCCCCCAAACACTTTAGCTATTCCCTGATGACTGACCTGGTTCCACCCAGACCCGGCCTGTTTGTGTGTGCATGGTTTTGTGGTACCCATGGTAGTCCTGGTTCCACCCAGACCCGGCCTGTTTGTGTTTGCATGGTTTAGTGGTACCCATGATAGTCCTGGTTCCACCCAGACCCGGCCTGTTCGTGTGTGCATGGTTTTGTGGTACCCATGGTAGTCCTGGTTCCGCCCAGACCCGGCCCAGCGCTTTCATTGCTGGTGATATAAATCAAGTCTTAAAGTTATTTACATTTGTATGTATTTCCCTAAATGTCAATTTTTCCGTAAAATGTTCAACATGATCATGTGATCCTGGGGAAAAATCCTAGAAGATAAGTATTTACGCACACAGACCTGCATGGCTGACCATTTAAGCCAGGATCCCCTTAATTTGTTTAGCTAGAACTAGAAAGCATCAGGCTCCGTCCCTCGTAGGGTGAGATATTTTATTACCCCTGTTTTATAGAGGACTTGTCTCTACCTGTTTGTTCTGATGTTTCCCCCTTGTCATTCCACTGCATTAGAGATAATAATTAAATAATTGTTTCTCCAATATTCCCTGTTTTCTCCAGTCTCCTAAAGAGGCTCTGGCCCAGTCTGTTTTGGCGGAAGTCCCTGGTCAGGTGGTCACCTACTTCAACATGAACAAGCTGAGTCCTCCTAACTCCAACACTCTCCCAGCCTCTGTTCCTGTTCCAGCAGCTACATCCTGACTCCCATCCACTCTCCCTCCTGACTCCCACCCACTCTCCCTCCTGACTCCCACCCACTCTCCCTCCTGACTCCCACCCACTCTCCCTCCTGACTCCCACCCACTCTCCCTCCTGACTCCCACCCACTCTCCCTCCTGACTCCCATCCACTCTCCCTCCTGACTCCCATCCACTCTCCCTCCTGACTCCCATCCACTCTCCCTACTGACTCCCATCCACTCTCCCTACTGACTCCCACCCACTCTCCCTCCTGACTCCCACCCACTCTCCCTACTGACTCCCACCCACTCTCCCTCCTGACTCCCACCCACTCTCCCTCCTGACTCCCATCCACTCTCCCTACTGACTCCCATCCACTCTTCCTCCTGACTCCTATCCACTCTTCCTCCTCACAGCACTATTAACAGTTGAGACAAGTATAGCTGCTCACCACTGTAGCTCTCGGCTTTCTATCAATGAATTCATGTAAATCTGATCATGACTAGTTTACAAAGATTTAGCCATTAGGAATTTACCAACTTTTTTTTACCAACTTTTTATTTTAAACTTTGTCCAATATGTTGTTATCATTATAATTTTTTTTTACGTCGTATTTAGGAACATTCTAGTATTTGCCAATGTGCCTGCATACTTGATTCACAATATAGTTGCAAAGTTATCAAGCACAGTTATTTGTTTGTCCGATCAAATTAACATCTGAATTAAGCCAACCCAGAAT